AAAAGACTTTTAAGGATTTTAAAAAGTAGCTATTCAAATAGCAAATTATTATAGCATTTGAAGTACGCTTAGGTATTAGCGATTGTTTAAACTTTATATTGTAGTTTACAGACTTTATTAACATGATTCGCTTATACAAGTTCGTTTAGGTAATAAATTTTATTAAATTCAAATATAAATTTGAAATAGTTCTTTGAAATATAGTTACGGCGCTGGCGGACCACTACACTACTAGGCTATGTTCTAAAAGAATACAAGTAACCAAAGCTAACAGTTCGGTTGCTCAAGTGGTCTTATATAGTTTGTCTTAGAAGAAGCTCCCGAGTGCATTCGGTGACAAATATAAAGACGTATCCGCCGAGTTTAAAAGGATTAGTATATTCAAATATATCATTATGCAATTTTTTCAAAAAAGTAATTGCACAGAGTATTTAAACCGGTAACCTTCTTGGTTTGAAAGGATTTATATTTAATTAGAAAGATACTCCTAGTTTCAATAGTAAATGGAAGTGTCACAGCGCTGGCGGACTACTACATTACTAGGCTATGTTCTAAAAGGATACAAGTAACCGAAGCTGGCAATTCGGTCGCTCAAGTGGTCTTATATAGTTGTGATAGCAGTGAGATGCACACTGCCAGGCTGCCATCACAGGAAGAGGAAAGTAAGCGTACAAAAAAAAACGCGGGACTAATATTAAAGATTTCCATAATTAGGAAAGAAATTCGGGTTTCTTTAATATAAAGTATGTAAGCGAAGTCTATACCCAAAAATGTATTATTAGTATTTAATGCTCGAAGTGTAAAACGATCCTAAGTAGTATTTATTAACTAGGATTCAAAAGCTAGTGGAAGAGAATTTCGAAAACATTTAAAAATTAGTAAAAGAGTTAAGAAAATTAAAAATAAAATAAGAAAATGATTTATTGCTTTTGCGTACGAAGCTAATAAGGCTTTTTATAAATAATAAAAGCGATGAAAAATTGGTACTAGTAATATAATTTATTTTGTTAGTTGTAGTACTATAGATGTAGGAGAAGAAGAGAATATTTATTTTCTAAAGAATTTAGCAATTCTCAATTCGGACGTATTTCTTTGTATTTCTGCCGAAATTATTGATTTTTTATTATTTTAGATAGGTATACTAAAAGACTATATTCAATTAAGTAATACTTCAATACTCATTGAGGGTTTTAGAACTAATAATATTGAAGTATAAGGAGTATATAATATTATTAAATTAAGGTTCAGAGAACTAGAATTTTACTTTAATTTTGTTATAAATTTAGTATTACTTTAATTACTTGAAAGATAAAGCTTCTTTTAGGATTAAGAGCTATTTAAGAATTATTTTCGACGATTAAATAGGTTGCTTTTTTATTTACTTTCAAATATTAATCTTTTTCTTTCAATTATATTACTTTTTTAATTCAATAAATTTGTTTTACTTATGTATTAGATCTTGTACCTATACAATACCCACTAATTTATAGTATTGTAAATTTAATTACTTCAGCTTCTAAATTCTCGAATATTTACATAACGTCAGTAACGCCTATATTAAGAGTATTTGTACTTCTAAATGGAAAGTATATATATTTTTGAAAATTAAGCGTAATACTATTTAAAAATTACAAAACTTGGTTATAATTCAAGCGAGCAATTTGTAGTTAATCTTATAGACCTTGAAAAAGAAAGAAAAGGTTTGAGACGGGAATTGTGGGATTTACACTCAATACAGGGGGTCACAAGAGTGAGGCTATATTGTATGTAAATAAAAGGTAAAAGAGAGATTCTCTTGGAAGAAAGGCCTGGCTTCCAGCCAGCCGTCTGCCCGCAGTAGATATGCAGTGTAGCGAGCTAGATAGCCCGAGCACAAGGCAACGGCTGGGTAGGCACCAGAGCTTTCATGGCAGCCCAGCTAATTTGGGCTGTCATGACTAGTCTAAGCTATAATACAGGGTATAGCCAACAATACTGGGAATCTAGGAACTCCGGTATCAAGGTTATACTTCAATAATATTAATTCTTTATTGCTGAATTAACTATATTTAGAACATTTATTCAATTATTCAAAATGCTACTTTTATTATATATAATCTACTGATAGTAATTGGTTTTATAGCTTACCAGTATAACATT